GTCCGGATTTCTTATTGGCAATTTGGGTAACCTCTTCAGAGGATGGTATGATAAAAATAGGAGGTAGGAATTCACTAGGCAGATAGGGTAAAAAGACCCCAAAGAAAAGCAGTTTGTTGGCTAAAACTCACAATGTCCTTGGGCCTCTTAGCAACCTACTCTGTTCCAAAGGCCAAAAATGTCAAAAATATTTGGGAGCATTTATCAAGAAAGAGTACATGAAGTTATCAGAAAAAAGTCATTGATGGGAAGATATGGGAGGAGTTGGACGGGAAGAAGTGGGCATGGATCTGATCAAAACACCTTATATACATGTATGAAATTCTCAATATTCTGTAGAAACAGTATATTTTAAAATGAAATGGAGATCTTTTTTGAAGGGTAAAAACTCATTCAATTATTTTTTAAAAAAAGAAAAAAAGCTGACATTATTTTCTTATTTCATAATTCTCTCTGATGAAGCATGAAAGAATTTTTACTATGATCTTTTTAGATATTTTAAATCATTTAAAAAAAAAGCATTAGGTCCAGCAGGATGGCTAAGTGGGTAACTGACAATCTGAGTTTGATCCCTGGGACACACATAGTAGAAGTGACTCTCAAAAGTCCTTTGACCTCCACACACAGGTGGCATTATCATCATCATCATCATCATCATCATCATCCACACACACACATTAAAAATGTAAAAAAAACCCAAAAAGCCCATGTCCCAACAAACTAGTAACAAATGAAGAATTTCAAAAACAAAGTGCTTTCAAATGGGATTTTAATGCTGAAGATAACTTTTGATTATGAGGTGAAATAATTTTTCTTTGGGACTCAACTTCTAAAGCATCTGCAATGAGACTCAAATAGAAGGAAGAGCAATCATAGTCAAACTGCCAACTTAAGGCCCCAAAGGAAATGTTAATGACAAAAAAGGAAATATTAATGACAAGAGACCCAATCTTTCATAATGAAGAAAGTCATGCCTGGAGACTACTAGTCAATCAACAGCAAACCGGGAGGCAAAAGAACCAATATACTTATTCCAATTATTCCAAACAGACTCCAACACTAGTTTGTACCAAAGTGTTGGGGTCCTCTGTTATGCAAGTAGAAGTCTCTTCACGTCCAGATAGCTCACGAGCTCGGAAACCATGTGCTGCAGATTCCTTCATAGCAGAGTGCCTTCCTGGCATCCTCCCTGACTCTTCTTTTAAAGTGCTCGCCACAAATACATGCCCTCCGGCACAGGAGCTACCAGTTTTTAATCAGGCGTTGTCTGATAGCCTGATAGAAGCCCACCGCCCTATGTAAATAAGGCATCCTAAAAGTACCTATCAGCTAAGACTTCTTCTGCTGTCTCTACACTATAAATAGTCCTAGTTTTACCCCCAATAAAGTTGGAGCTGGATCACCTCACACAGACTCAGAGCTGGATCACTTCACTCAGACTCGGAGCTGGATCACCTCACTCAGACTTGGAGCTGGAGCTGAATCACTGAGATCTGAGCTGAGTCACTTGTCTTGAGCTGTAACACTAAATCCTGTGATCCAGTCTCCCCGGGGGGCGCTCTATTCCTCCGTTATCGGCCCATGGATACCCCAGCTTTCGCCACCTCCATGCCTCTTCCCTGTGGAGTTCACTGGCCAGGAACTCCGCAATCCTGAGGAAGGGTACAAGGGTGTAATAGAGGCGGGATTCCGACTAGATAATAATCTAGTAGCAGAGGAAGCTCTCTGCTCCAGAGAAGTGTGTAGCCATCAGCTACAGCCAGCATCAGAGAAGTCAGCGCACCTGCTGTCTCCAGAGAGGTGCGGCTGGCTAGGCCCCCCAGCGGCTAGCCAGCGGGACCAGAACCACTGCGGGAGATTGCGCACACCTAACCCCAGGCCACATCCAGACTGAGTGCGCCCGGGAGCCCAGGCGCGCTCCCCACATCGCTTGCAGCCAGACTCACGCCGGGACTAGCCAGGTGTGGCGGAGACCCCAGGGTGCCCGCACACACCACGCCGGGGGTCTAGTGACCCGCCCCATACCAAAGCATAGCCTTAAACCTGTATTTAAAGTTTTACAGCTTCTTAAATGGTAAGACTGGTTTATCTCACAATGGCATCCATATATTAGGAACTAAAATGACAGCATTAATATAAAAAAATTGAATTACATTAAAAAGAAAAATTAAGGCATGAATAAAAAACACTTAGGCAGTACAACAGAACATGGCAAACAAAGAAACAAACAAAAATAATCCCTGCCATTAGAGCAGGTTAAAAATTTTAACTTACTACTGTAAACTAATTCATGAAACTTTAAAAAAATATTTTACGAGGTTAAGGCTGAGGTCCTAGCAGACAGCCTTAGTGGGTGGGTTCCAACCAGTTGTAGTGGCTGTAGTCTCAGCAGAAAAACAGAGAGTGCCAGGTTCTGGCCTCCCACTGGCATAGGGGCTGAGGACACAGGGGACTTCCTGAGAGCACCCAGATGCTGCCTCCACCAGGTGGTAGAGAACCTCCTGCTGGTCTGCTGAGATCATAGCTTCTATGATCCTAGCAGGCAGTCAGAGAGGGTGGGCTTCGACCTCCATTCCCTATTTGCACCATACCCCTTCCCCTGCCTGGGATTTCCTGAGGCCCTTCCCAAGGCCCCAGGGCAGATCTGGCTTTGGTAGGCTAAAGCTGAGATCCTAGCAAACACCCTGAGAGGGTGGTTCCAACCTCTATCTGTGTAGCAGCTGTGATCTCAGCATACCTACAGAGAGTGCCTGGTTTTGGCCTCCCTCTGGCATATGGGCTGAGAATGCAGGGAACTGCTTGAGAGCCCCTGGATTCTGCCTCCAAATAGTGGTCAGCTTCCCATAATTGCACCATACCTATCCCCTCTACCTGGGATGTCCTGAGGCCCCTCCCAAGACCCCAGGGCAGACCTGGCTTTGGTAGGCTAAGGGTGAGATCCTAGCAGACAGAGAGGATGGGCTCCAACTTCCATCAGCAGAGCAGCTGTAATCTCAGCAGACCAGCAGGAGGTTCTACAGCAGGAGCCTCCTGCTGCCATAGGGGCTGAGAACACAGAAGATCAAGTGAAAGTTCCAAATTCTACCCCCCACCACCACCATTAGGGAATTCCCCAGATTTTCTTTAAGTTTCTGCTAATAGGGGTCCAAATCTTAGAAGGAAGCCTGAGTGTACCTGACTGGAACCTGACTTGGGCCTCTGTGGGTGCTCCTGAACACCTGATCTGAAGACATCAGTTTCCTCCAAAATAAAACCTGAGCGAGGCTGAACCCTGTACCATCCAGTTTACATAACCAATAAGGAAAGGACCTAGGCACCCCGATAATACAAACAGAAGCATACTTCAACTTAATCCTCATATCAGAATCATAAACACTGAATTTAAAGAACAGAGGTGGAAGCAACACTGAAGTTAAAGAACAATCATAAACATGATCAAGGAATTCAAAGAATTTAAAGAACACACAAATAGATCAAAAGAACTAAAAGAACATAGGGATAAACTTCTGAATGAATTCACAAAAGAGAAAGAAGAAAACACAAGTGCAAAACTCAATAAGCCAACTTGAAACAAGAGAGGAAAGCCTCACAACCAGAATGAATGAAATGAAGAACAGAATATCAACACTGGAGGATTGGACCATTAAGCAAAGATTATCGAAAAATTTAAAAAACACAGGAATGGAATATGCAAGAGATGTAGGATACTATGAAAAGACCAAATCTACAGATCATAAGAATAGAGGAAGGAGAAGAATTTCAGGTTAATGGTACTGACCAGATCTTAAACAGGATTGTAGAAGAGGATATCCAGAAATTAAGGAAAGACATTCCTGTACAAACACAGGAAGAACAAAGAACACCAAAGAGACAGGATCAGAAATGAAACTCCCCACAACGTATCATAGTAAAAACACTAAATGTACACAACAAATAGAGAATACTGAAAGCAGCAAAAGAAAACAAGTCACATACAAAGGAAAACCCATCAGAATTACAGCTGACTTATCAATGCAAACTATGAAAGCCAAAAGAGCCTAGACCAAGGTATATCCAGTTCTACATGACAAAAGATGCCAGCCCAGAATACTTTGCCCAGCAAAAGTCTATTATAGTAGAGGGGAGAAAGAAGAGTCTTCCATGACACAAATAGTCTGAAAGAAAACATGTCCACAAAACCAGCCCTTCAAAGAATATTACAGAGAGTGGAGAGAGAAACAGCTATACCTCAGGGGCAACTAAAGAAAATAAATAAAAGTATAATTGAAAAAACAGAGAACATAAACAGCAATCAAAATGATGGCAACCAATACATACCTTTCAATAACAACCTTAAATATCAATGGACTA